ACCGGCCCGCCCCAGGGCCAGCCTGGGGGGCTTCCAGCCCCAGCACTGCCTGCCCAGGGGGTGATGCCCCAGCAGCAGCTGCTGCCTCCTGCTCCTCCAGCCCCCCAGCCCAGAGGAACACGTTCCGTTGCTGCTCGTCACCCCGCGTGGCCTTTGGGGGGGCTGGGGGCATGGGATGGCAGGACAGCAGGTGGGCTCCCAGCACCACGGTACAGGCTGCCCAAGGAGCCCCAGCAGGGCTGCCCCCCCCGCCAGGCCCTGCCAAGGGTGCAGAGCCAGGACTGGTCCTTTCTGCTTCGTACCTACAGGCTGGAAGGACTTATGGGATCACCTGAGCTCCCCAAGCCAACACTGCTCTCCCAATACTTCTATCATCAGCCAGATGCCTGCTATTCTCCTGCAACCCTAACATGCTGACCTTCCTGCACCTGGCAGGTTTCAGTGGGCATGGCTTCCTTTCCAGCACCATTCCCAGGGTTGGGCACCTCCCACTTTGGGCCAACCATGACACGGAAGTGCCTCCCAGCATACTCACAGGGGTCTCGTGCAATGAAGTGTGCGCCCAAGGCGGGGTGGATGTTGGTGGGGTTTGGTGTGGCCATCAGCTTGCTCTTGGCCATCTTCGTGTTGGCTTTAGCAAACTCTAACCGCAAGGTCTGGGGGTTCTCCGGGTCGAAGCGGATGCCCTGACACAGAAGACAGCAGGTGATGTTTCCAGTTTAAGCACAGGTTGTGTCTACCCGTGGAGCAAAGCCCAACAGGAGAACCAAGGCCGTCATGCTGCAGTCAGATAGCCCAGGGTTTTTGTCACCTCATGGCACCACTCAAGCTCCCACATGGTTGTATGTCTACGTTTAGCTGGCTCAGGACCACTGCTTCCCACACAGAGGGTGAACTTTGCTCCTTACGTGCTTGTCACCAACCAGCACAGCAGTGATGGCCATCAACACTGGCCAGGAAATATCTGCCTGCTGGAGCTGGGAGAACCCCACCTGAAGCTCCTGCTGCCAGCCTGGACAGAGACATGCCCCAATGCCCAAGGCAAGGTCTGCAGCTGGGCAGAACCAGACCAACATGTGCTGCTGCCTAGATCCTGCTGACTTCTGCAGGACCACACAAGATGGAGCTAATTTGGGGCTATGCCTGCCATGCTGACCATCCTCATGTCTTTGTCTTGGGCTGCACCAGTTTGGAAATCCTGCAATGTGCTAAAGGAGCCTGTACAAGGTGCTCTGGCCCTGCCTCATGTCCTACCTTGGAAACTACAGCATGGGAATGCTGGTTTCCTTCCTTTCTTAAGCAGATAGTTTCTAGCTGCAGAGGTCCTGGCAGGCTGGAGACCTGGGCAAGGACCTGCTCTGCTGAACAGCCACACACTTCATCAGGCCATTTGGTCAAGTGAGGCTGTCACCAGGCCACTAGCCCAAGGCAAGACCTACAGCCACATGATAGACCATCTGTGCATGGAGCCTCCTTGACTGCCCACATACCCTGGTGAGCTCGACCCAGAGCCTCAAAAAGCTGATGCTAAACACAAGTTGAGCTCCATGTGCCTCATCAAAGCATTAAATGTGTCAAGTGGGTTTCACCTTATGCCTGGGAACCACTTCTGCCCCCAGCAATATTCTTCCCCTTGGTTTGCCAAGGGTTGGTTCCTCAGAGAAGACCTGCCTGCTTCAAGTACTCCAAGCCAAGGTCAGGTCAAGCAGTGAGGGTAGGAGAAGCCCCCATCTGAGCACTCAGTGTAAAGTCTCCTTGAAGAGCAGCTCTGGCCACATGCATCAGTAACAAACAAGGGAGTCCTCTCACTCCACAGCTCTTATAGAGGGAGGAGCACTCAATGGGTAAGGAACAGGATTCCCAGCCTGGGTCCTACTCTCAGAGTCCAACAGCTGAGCAATGAGATGCACGCCAACTCCAGAAGATAAGTATCTGTTATTTCCAGTGGTCAGCATCATAGAATCACAGACTGGTTTGGGTGGAAGGGACCTTAAATATAATCTAGATCCAACCCCCCTGCACAGACAGGGACACCTCCCACCAGCCCAGGTTGCTCCAAGCCCCATCCAACCTGCCCTTCAACACTGCCAGGGATGGGGCAGCCACAGCTTCCCTGGGCAACCTGGGCCAGGCTCTCACCATTTGCTCAGGCCAACATCAGCCTTAAACAGCTCTCCAGCTTCCACCGTGGGATGCTGAAGGACCATTTAGCTTCTGTAGTCAAGGGCACAGCTGAGACACCCTGACCTTTCCTAGGCTATGGCCAAGCCAACATCCCTCCAGCCCCCAGCTCCAGGTGGAGCTCTACAGAGCACCCAGCCCTCCCACCACAGCAGGTACTCACATTCAAGGCATTCTTTGCTGCTTCAGCACCAGCCCGACTGTCAAAGGTCACAAAACCAACTGGCTAAAAGAAACAACTGATTTCAGTGTGCAAGATTTTTCCAGCTCCCCCTCTCCACCCCAGGAAGTTCACAGCAAGCAGAAGAAACCATTTAAAGCTGCAGAGGGTCTTAAAACAGAGCTTAAAGTAATTGTTCCGAGATTCCTGATCCATGTCTGTTTTCAGCACATCAAAATGCTTTGGTCTTCCCACAGGTGGGGGCACTGCCCACCCTGACAGCCCCCAGCAGGGTACTCCTTGCCCACAGGGGAACCACTGCCTAGATTAGGATGGCTCTGGGGAAGATTTCTGGCTTTGAGACTGAAGCACCAGGTCTCGCCCCAGCCCACATGGGCAGCAACAGAAGACCTAGAGCCATTTGGCACACGCTGAGAGCCTGGGGACACCAGGCTGGTGGGTGTGAGCAGAACCCAGCTGCACACATGGTGCTGAAAACACACAATGGAATTATGTCTGTGGCCCCTTCCCTGCCCTCCCAGCATGTCTGGTTTTCTAGCTAAAGCCAAAAATACCCCAAGCACTGGAAGAAGGTGGTACCTGCTTTGAAGTTAGCTTGATCAGTGACCCTTCATAACCCTGGAGAAGAGAAGAAAGCAAGTCAGCATCAGGTTCCCAAAGGAGCTGAGCTACAACCAAGACATGACACAACAGGTCCAGGAGCTACTGCAGCACCAAGCCCTGGGCAAGGTGAGGTACCTGCAGCAGCAGGTACATTAATGTCTCCCCTTTCCCACCAAAAGAGAAGACTGAGATGAGTCTAAGGGCCAAGCAGGTATCTCAGACAGCCCTTTGGGAAGAAATCCCATTTTCTAGCTCTTCATCAAATTACTAAGATGAACACCATGTGCAAACAAGGGAAAATCACTTCCCACAGCCCATGTGGTGATCTAGTGAAGGATGGACAGCTCAGTGGACAGGACACATCCTCAAGGAAGAGCTAGTCCAGCTTAGCTGTGGGGCTCACCAAGCAGCCTTCACCAAGCTTGGAGACAGTGTGATTTCAAGAGGCTCCAGGGGTTACTCAGCTGACAGCAAGCCATGGGACATCATTCTGGTTTCATGCCACATTCCTCAAGCTTTCACAGAAAGCCAACCTTCCCACTTCGTCCTCGATGCCCTTGGACAGAGATCTTTGTTTCACGGTTGGCCACAAGACAGCATCTTTAAGCCTGAAGGCCTCCTTACCTTGAATGGTCGGAAG